TTATCTCAACAATAACCTGATCTGTAGCTATCATTCTTACCGTATCCAGCAAGTTAGCCAACTGGACCATCTCATTACGCACGGCAGTTAAATCATGGTTTTTCAAGACGAACTGAGAAACAAATAAACACACCTTTCAGAACTACACAATGAAAAAAACTATTCCAAAAACACAGACTTCTCATGGCTAAAACTCACCCTTAGGTTGTCCACTACTAACACCAACTCCACATATTTGGTCTGAGGCAAGTTTCGTTTTTTCTGCGGATTCAGTAGATTAAATGAAATGTCGAGTGTGTTTTTGCAACATAACAGTGTTGATAAGACAACAAGACATATTTTCCAACCCGTAAAAACATGGACATGTCAGCGGAATGGGAGTGGTCCTCGCTGGAAGACGTTTCATTGGCCAGTCCACATACAAATGGCTCTGTCTGACTGTCCTTCAACAGGAAGAGGAGGTGCTCATTGGCTTTGGAGTGCAAGATGGGTTCCAGCCCATAGCTATTATTATCAATGAGAATGATCCCCCTGAAACACAGTGTACAATGGCACACCAAGTTACAACCTAATATCTGAGAGACCCCAAGACCCAAAAAACAATAAAAAATACTGTAACTTTGCTACTCTTATGAAAAGTGATATTTAAAGGAGTGTCTATTTACATGAAGTGCAAATAACCCATCTTGTTGACAAAGGCTCAGCCAACCATTATCTGGTTGGGCAAGACACAATTACAAACTGTCTGGTAACAGGAGCAGCAGCACGGAGAATAAAAGCGCAGTATGTGTGCGGTTTCATTGCCAGAATTTTGCGGCTGAAATTCAGTCATTTCAACATGAATTTTTCACGGGAGGGCGAAAAAAATACCCTACGCAGATTTTGTTAGTGTTTGAGTTGGTCATACAAATTTGCTGCATTCAACAACAGAAAGCAGCTGAAACTGACTTCTGTGTGAGATGTGCTTCATACGTCGCTATACTACTGGCGAAGTGCCTTTTTTGCCCGTGAAATCTCACCGAACATTTCGCAAATGTGACCGTGCAGGTTTTTTTTCTGATCCCATTAGGGATATGAATATTTAAGGTCCCAATTAGGAAGCATCCTTTAATGATTTTAGAAATAGAATCATATACACTGAATATGTTTTTACGGAGTTCACCAACATTAAACTTTGGCATGCAGTGAAATTTGCATGAGCTTGCATTTCCTGTCTCTCGTAATAGCATGCGCATAAATGGAAGTCAATGGAATGAAAAATGACGGTCCCTTTGGTACAAACAGTATGTAGCCACTATTTACACTAAGTGCAGTGAAAACACTGTTGTTTTGACTTTAAAATTGCATATATCTCTTGTTATACTTACATTATTCATTATTCATATTTACTTATTTTTTTGACTATATCACTATCATCCTATCATTTGGCCTATCATCCTTTACACATCCTCCATTGCATTACCAGTATTTATGTTAAAAAATGTGAACATTTTCACAGATTTTTCACAAACTAAAATGTTCCGACTGGTTTACACACTGTTGAAGTACAACTTCTGTCAGTTATTTATTTAGATTGTTTTATTGAATTTTTATATCTACACACAGGAACACATTTTTCTTAATAGGTCAGATGAACATTAAAATAAATTAAAGAGAAAATGTCAAGTTCAATTCTGATTATTTCTTATCATACAACATTGAACAAACAGATATTAAGTAAAGTACAGTCACTTTTAACAAAACAAAAGGGTTAATACTTAACAGTTTAGGTGCAAGCTGTCTTTCACATTTCTAACTAACTTCTAAAAAGAAATATCAGTGTTTACCCAGCAAAATAAAGACTGGTGTTAATGTTTTAGGAAAGCTTAGAATTTAGGTTATACACAAGAATCAACAAAGATCTGTTTGCATTTTAGAGACAGATAGATTAGGGATGCACCGATATAATTTTTTGGGGCCGATACCGATATTTGTCACTTCCTCTCTTATTTGAAATTTTG